ACCATATTAGAAATTACTCCATTGACCAAAGTGGGTGTACACCCAGGTGTGTACATAGTTTATACGTGTACATATTGTGCATATTAGGTACTCATGTACAAAATGTACATGTCAACATTATATGTATTTATGTGTACATGTGCAAATGTACATACTGTTCACACATATGTACATGTGCATATTTTGTACATGTGTACATAATGGGTACATGATGTGCATGTGTACACACCGTGATACCACAATAAATGTAAATGTACACGATGTGTGCAATATGTACATTTATATTATGTATTACTTGTGTATTGTGATTTTATATGCTGTTGTGATTATATGATATCATTGTAATATTACAATAAATGTACCTATTGCACACATTTCGTACATACCTATTGTGTACACATTATGTACCTGTAATTGCACATATTGTACAGATTATGTACGTTTTTGGTACATCTGTATTGTGTACACATATGTACATAACACTCTATGTACATATGGTATGTATTCTGCACATTGATTGTAACATCTCAATAAGTGTACACATTATGAGTATATTGTGATATATGATTTTTAGTATATTAGATAAAAATTTCTTTCTATATCAAAGTGGGTATACACCCATGTGTGTCCATTTTTTGATATTATTCCATCATATTTTAAGTAGGTATTACTCTCATTTTGAAAGCAAGTGTTCACTCTGTGATTGTTCCAATATCACAGGCAAAGCACAAGGCTTCTTTAATGTACTACCTAATATCCTGGGGACAAAAGATTATTATACCCTGAATATCGCAGGAAGTGTACACCACCACTGTAGTATCGTGTCTAATATCAAAAACGGAAAAGATATTACTCCAAGTATCTGATAAAGCACACAAGACCCCCGTGATATTTTTTCTAATAACTAAGGGATTACAGATGACATTACTCACAATATGACTGGGGCTGTCTGCCGGTCCTGTGATATTGTTCCTAATATCCAGAGAAGGAGAGAATAATGTTGCTGCCCATAGGCAAATCCTCTGAATACGGCAAGAGGAGTACACTGTGCTCTGATATGGTCACTAATGTAAACAAGAAAACAATTATATTGAATTTAACATTGCAAGGGGTGAAACCTTCTTATGATTTCAATTCCAGGGGTGTGAGGATGACATTTTTGTCAATATGGCAGAGGTGTAACTAGAACTATTGCCTAGTATATAAAAAACCAGAATAACATCATTTCCATATGATATGGTCGCCAGCATCATATTACACCACATTTTCAAAATAGCCGGGCACAGTGCCCTAGCCGGGGGGTCCCTAAGCAGCCAGCGTCAGCCTGGGAGCTGTTACGGGCCCTCTGGCGGGGAATGCGGTTACATCTCCCTAGCCAGGGGGTCATTAAGCAGCCAGCGTGGGACTTGGGGCTGCTACGAGGGGGGCTGTGGTAATAGCCTGTTCTGCAGAGGTACATAGTTTTAATAATGAACACATATTTGTATAAGTGTACACATGGTGTTATGATAAATATATATGTACAAATGTGCACAATACATATAGACCTAATGCGTACCTACTGTGTACAATATGTACTTTTTTGTGATATTACTTGATATATATATTACTGTCATTATATGCGTTATTTTTTTGATTATATATATTTTATCACTGATATTTTAAGGAATGTGCATAGTGTACACATTATGTACCTATACATTGTTTACACATTATAGAAATATGTAGGTGCATATTTTACAGAGTATGTACATTTTTTGTACATGTGCACTGTGTACACACATGTACAGCAGGGTAAATGTACCTATTCTATACATTTATTGCAATATGCCAATAAATGTACACACTATTACTACATTCTGAATTATTATATTTTGTATATTAGATAGAAATTTCTCCGGTTACCAAAGTGGTTCTACACCCAGGTGTGTACATAGTTTATATGCGTACATATTGTGCATAGAATGTACTCGGGTACAGAAGGTACATATCTACATTATATGTACACATGTGTAGTGTACATATGTACATACTGTACCCACATATGTACACTTGCATATATTGTGCATCTGTACATAATGGGTACATGATGTACATGTTTACATATCATATCACAATAAATGTAAATGTACATCATGTTTGCAATATGTACATTTATATTGATATTACATATTACATGTATATTGTGATTTTATATGCAGTTGTGATTATATAACTTGTGATATTACAATAAATGTACATATTGTACACATTATGTGCACTTATTGTGTTCACATTTTGTACATATATTCGTACAAATGATACAGTTTATGTACATTTATTGTACATCTGTATTGTGTACATGTATGTACATCACAGTCAATGTACATATGTTACATATTCTGTACATTGAGTGTAATATCCCAATAAGTCTACACACTATGAGTTTTTTCTGGGTTATGACTTTTAGTATATTAGATGAAAATGACTTCCAATATCACAGTGGGTATATAGCCATGTGTGTCCATTTTGTGATATTATCCATCGTATCCTAAGTAGGTATTTCTCTCACAATGAAAGAAGGTGTACACTCTGTGATGGTTCCAATATTATAGGCAAAGTGCAACGCTTCTGCGATGTAGTTCCTAATATCCCCCAGGGACAGAGGATGAGTATACTCTTAATATCGCAGGAAGTGTACACCACCACTGTAGTATTGTTTCTAATATCCAGAAACTAAAAGGATATTACTCCAAATATCTCCAAAAGCACACGAGACCCCCGTTACATTGTTCTTAATAACTAGGGGATTACAGATGACATTGCTCACGATGTGACTGGCGCTGTAAGCCGGTCCTGTGATATTCTTCCTAATATCCAGATAAGGAGAGAAAAATGTTGCTGCCCGTAGAGAAATATTCTGAATACTGCAAGAGATGTACACCGTGCTCTGATATGGTCACTAATGTAAACAAGAAAACAATTATATTGAATTAAACATTGCAAGGGGTGAAACCCTCCTATGCTTTCAATTCTAATGTCAATGGGGTGAGGATGATATTTTTGTCAATATGCCAAATGTGTAACTAGAACTATTGCCTAATATGTAAAGAACCACAATAACATTATCATTTCTGTGTGATATGGTTGCCAGTATCATATTACACCACATTTTCAAAATAGCCGGGCCCCAGCAGCTGTGGGCACAGCGCCCTAGGCAGGGGGTCCCTAAGCAGCCAGCGTGGGCCTGGTAGCTGTTATTGGCCCTCTGGCGGGGGCTGTGGGTACAGCCCCCTAGCCAGGGGGTCTTTAAGCAGCCAGGGTGGGCATTGAGGCTGCTACAAGCAGAATTGTAGTAATAGCCTGCTGTGCATAGGTATGTAGTTTGCACCTATTTCTGCATGTGTACATTGTTTAAATAGTAGGCACATATTTGTATACGTGTACATACGGTGTTATCATGATACATATATATTTTCATAATATGTGCACTATACATATGTACCTAATACATACCTAATGTGTACAATATGTACTTTTTGGTGATATTACACGACATATATGTATTAGTGTGATTATATATCTTACTGTGATTATATATATTTTATCACTGATATTTTAAGGAAATGTACATAGTGTACACATTATGTACCTATGCATTATTGTGTACACATTATAGAAATATATAGGTACATATTTTACAGATTATGTATATTTTTTGTACATGTGCATTGTGTACACCTATGTACAGCAGAGTACATGTACAGATTGTGCCTATTTAATACATTTATCACAATACGACAATAAATGTACACACTATGACTACATTCTGGGATTTCATATTTAGTATATTAGATAGAAATCTCTCTGGTTACCAAAGTGGGTATACACCTATATGTGTACCTAGTATATACGTGTACATATTGTACATACTGTGTACTCCTGTACAGAAGGTACATATCTACATTATATGAACATGTGTAGTGTACATATGTACATACTGTGCACACTTATGTACACGTGTATATACCGCAAATCTGCACGTGTGCATGATGTACATGTGTACATATCGTAATATCACAATAAATGTAAATGTATATGTGTGCAATATGTACATTTGTATTGATATTATGTATTATATGTGTATTGTGATTATATATGCTGTTATATGAAATCATTGTATTACAATATATTTAAATATTGTACACATTATGTACATACCTACTGTGTACACATTATGTACATATAAATGTACATATTGTACAGATTATGTACATTTTTTGTACATCTGTATTGTGTACACATATGTACATCACAGTCAATGTACATATGGTACATATTTTGTACGTTGATTGTCATATCCCAATAAGTGTACACATTATGAGTATATTCTGGGATATGATTTATAGTATATAAGAAAAAAGTTACTTCCAATATCAATGTGGGTATACTCGCATGCGTGTCCATTTTGCTTTACCTTCTATTAATCTTTGCCATTGAACATGATAGTGAGAGGTGGTTCTTTTCTCTAACAAGGTTTTCTGTTAATATAACTCAACTCTACTACCTTGTGGCCTCTGTATCTTCCATTGTAAATTGTAATTACCTATAAAAGAGAATATTTTGACATCACGTATCTACCTCTTGGATCCATCAGGAGGCCTAAAATAAAAAAGACATTCACCCCACGAATGGTTATATAGTGGTTGACAACCCCAATTTCTTCTAGGTAAATAATATCCTCTCTTTAACAGTAGCTACTTACAAGATTTGTGCATAAAGAATGTGAATTTTCTATCAGTATCTAATTTATTCTTACATAAATTTCTAAAATACTGAGAGCATATTCTGACCATTGGTTATGTACTATTTTAATTTAATTTTTTCCTCTCAAATTTTATCTTAACTGCATACTCTACTCTGTTTATAAGACTGCCCTATGGTTAAATTTAGTAGGTAGTAAATTATCCTGAGCACACAGAACAATTCTTTTTGTAATCAACTCTGAAACATCATTGAAAGAGCAAGGATATGGGAATTAGATTTATCTGGCTTTTATTTCTGGTACTTACTTGCGCTCTGACCTTGGGCAACTTATGTATTGCTCTGAGTCTCATCTTCTTCATCTGTAAAATGATCATAGTAATACCTAATTCATATGCAGCTTGGAAATGTGTAATTTAGTGATTGATATAAAGTTCCTGATACAATTTCTGACAAAATAATAGACACCCCGCGAGAGATAACCATAACAATCAGAGTTTATATTCACATTAACTGGGATAAAATTGATCTGAACATACAGCATAAAAAAGCAGCCAAAAATTCACAAGCATATATTTCGCTTGCCTTTTTATACAGAGCTGGAAAATTTCTCATCATTATCTCATCCATTGCCTGCAGCACGATCCTTCCAAAACTCCTCCTAAGACCGTCTGCCAAGGTGGAACACACTGAACCGCATGTGACTCTGCCTTTTCTGACTATTTTTGCAAGATTTTTCTCATAGAGGATTATTAACAGAAAATGGGGCTGTTATCAAGGAGACTAGGAATGGTGCATTCTCATTTCAGGCTCTGATGGAATGTCTACTTGATCTGGTGCAACTCCGGCTGTGCCCTTGGCTTTCCTCACTTTTGTGGTTCCAAGAATGCTCCCATAGCTTCCTTATTTTGTCTTTCTCCATGAGGTCTCATTCAAGTATAAACATTCCCTTCAATTTTCTCAACTCATTTTATATTGTCTGAATAACCTTGATACTTTTCCCTTTCCTAAGCTATAGACCTTCTTTTTGTGTGTAAGAACAGGTTACTCACAAATGTTTCCTGTCTGCTAAACATTTATGTGTCATCGGTCCTTAATTCTACACACAAAATATCATCTCTACCAACATTTTACAACTTTAGTCTTCTATAGAGAACTATGAAAGGAACTTGCTCTAAAGGAGAAACTTCCAGAGCTAAACCAAGGGTCTGACCATTTTTAACAATATGTTATTCAGTAAAAATATTTTTTCAGTTAACAGAGAAGAATGCCATGGACAAAATGGCAAAACAGAACTTTTCAGCACTTATTCCTTCACAGAAACATCAATTTGAACAGCCATCCGTGCATCAAAGTGTCTTCAAAAGAGACAAGGAATCCAGGTGAGGTGAGAGGTTGTAGCACGTCTGTGGAGTAGAAAAGTAAGAAAAACGGCATAAAATAGAGTATAAAAGAGAGTTTTCTATTATCTGCATTACCCCGCCCCTAAACCTGGGTAGTGCAGCATGGAAAGAGATACCATGTATGTGAGGAGAGGAGAGTCAATGTAACACCTGACTTCAACATCAACTCCAATGCCAGGCACAATTCAGTGAACTCAACACCAGGCAGGTTTCTATAGCCACAGGCTATGGGACAGACCCTGTCAACCCAAGCTCCAGGCCTTCCCCTATGGCTCTAAGATCTAATGCCTCCAACCTCCATGGCTCCTATCGACATAGGCTCCAGGCCTTCGCCACAACCAGGCCATTTATGGCTTCCCCAGGCTCCACACTGGTTACTATAGACTCGTAAGTGCCTGGATAAACAAACCTCTACATCGACACAGTGGAATATTATTCAGCAATGAAAGCAATCATCTTTGAATGTGGCTTTTGTTGCAGAAAAAAGGCAGCACGTGAGCTATGAAGCCATTAAAAGACATAGAGGAAACTCAAATACATACTACTAAGTGAAAGAAACCAATCTCAAATGACCACTTACTATATGAATCCAACTATATGACATTCTGGAAAAGGCAAAACTATAGAGACATCAAAACGTTCAGTGATTGCTGGGGGTTGAAAAGTGGGAAAGGATAAATGAGCAGAGCATAGAGGATGTTTAGGGCAATGAAACTACTCTGTGTGTTACTATAATGGTAGACACATGCCATTACACCCTTGTCAAAACTCACTGAATATACGACAGCAAGAATGGTCCCTAATGTGAATTATAAACTATGGGTGACAGTGATAAGTCAATGTTGGTTCATCCATTGTAACAAATGTACCTCTCTAGTGAGGAAGGCTGATAGTGGAGGAGGCTGTGCATTTGGGGAGGTGGGAATGTAGGAACTCTCTGTACTTTCCACTATGCCTCACTATTAACTTTACACTGCTCTAAAAATAAAGCGTATCGTATTTTAAAAAAGATTGAGCTGTTGATATAAGCCCAATGTCTACTTTTACGTCCAGAAATGTTTCTTTTAAAACGCTAATACACCACTTCCTGGAAGAAAATATTTGTTAACAAATTCTTTTCTAGAACAATTATTTTTGTGGGTGTTCCTGTCACAACTATACATAAAAATCAGAATATGCAGCAACATCTTCATACTCTAAAAACACAATACCAAAAACTTTAAGAAAATCATTTCTAAATTTGATCTAAGCCAAAATGTGGAGAAGAAAGAGGGAAGAAAATTATTTCTGTATAATGAGATTATAGGTTGTTTCTCCGAACTCCTCTACAGTTTTCAGTATTTTCCAACTTCTATCATGGAGATATATAAATATATAAGTAGATATGTAGATATACAGTCATTAGATATATATTTATATATAATAAATAAACAGATACCATTTTTATTATTTATTTATTTATTTATTTTTGAGACGGAGTTTCGCTCTTGTTGCAATGGCGCGATCTTGGCTCACCGCAACCTCCGCCTCCTGGGTTCAGGCAATTCTCCTGCCTCAGCCTCCTGAGTAGCTGGGATTACAGGCACGCGCCACCAAGCCCAGCTAATTTTTTGTATTTTTAGTAGAGACGGGGTTTCACCATGTTGATTAGGATGGTCTCGATCTCTTGACCTCGTGATCCACCCGCCTCGGCCTCCCAAAGTGCTGGGATTACAGGCTTGAGCCACCGCGGCCGGCCTACAGATACCATTTTTAAAAGATATATTTATGTATTTTATATATTTATATAATATATACATGTTCATATATACATCATGTTATCACCATTATGGATATAAACAAGGACATTAAAATAGTGAAAAGATTAAAATAAAATGTACCAAAATGGAAACAGTGATTTAACTCTGCCTATCTTTATGTGATTAAACAAGGTATTTTTCAAATCTATTTTTCTTTGCTTTCTAGAGGCTTTATAATAAATCTATATATTTTTTTGTACTGATTTTTTTTTAATTTTTTATTGATTATAGGTTTTGGGGTACATGAGCATTAAAAGCCTAATTTTTATTAAACAAATAAAAATTCAGCAACACTGTCTTTAGAACATTTTTTAAATCAACTTGAGCATGAAGAAAAAGTTATGACTATGGTGGTGAGCATTTTGAAAGATTAGCAGAAGCAGGGATAATGTGACACTTAGCTGATCTTTCAAGGGAGCTAGACAAATGACACTTTTCGAAAAGAAAATAGTCACTAGTGTTGAAACATGGTATTGCCAGTATGATTAAGAAGGAAAGTGTCAACTTCTTCTGTGGAAAATCCTAACATTACCAAACGTAAGAAGGCAAATACTTCAACAACAGAAATGAAAAAGATCTTGATTCATTTATTTAACACTATTTTAGAGTTTAATCCCAAAAAGTCTATTTTGAAGAAAAGAAAAAATCTTACTCGTGTATATTATTCTTTGCAGTGAACTGGCCAAATAATAAGTCTATCCAAGGTACGTTGAATACCGAGCATGCTGGAAACATTTTTATTGACATCATCTCTAATCCCTACAACAATAGTGCAAGGGAAGGTTTAACATCTTCTTTTTACAGAGAGGAAAGCTGAGGCTCAAAGAGGTATAGTAGCTCATTTAACATTACACATCTAATACGTGGTGGAGGTGGGACCTATACTTACATCTGTCAGACCTTAAAGTCTGTGTTCTTCTTTCTACCTCTCTGCCTCAGTCCAACAATTGGGATCTTTGCCATGATGCCTCACGAGTTCACGAGGCACTTTTCAGGAAGTTTTTGACTCAGACTTTATCACTCAGCAAGATACCTCAACTAATTTACAAAATGTGACTTGAAAAGCAGGTTGTAATTCCAAAAGCAAAAATCCAACCACAAAAGATAAAGTCTTAATCAGTAGAGCTTTACAGAAGGAAGTAATGTAGGTAGTAAGGGCACTTTCGGAAATGTCTGGAATCAGAGGAGTCGATGTATCACCTGTTAGAAATTGTACTCGCTTGGTAGCAAAATTTCCTTGTGTTCACTTCAAATAATAGTCTTGTTGTTTTAAAAACCAACGCACAGTCAGAGGGTGACTTGGATGTTTATTTTTATTCTCTTTGCCTTCTTGTTTTGAGAATGGATTTTTCCTAATTCTAATTATTATTGTAACTTACATAAGTGCAGCCGATTTTGCTTTTAAGGATAAACTACATTTAAGTAGCTTTGTCTGGATTATCAAAACCAGGTCCTGAAGAAGTGAGTTCCTATAGGGTAGGAACTTTGCTTATGTCTATATCTCAGTTGTGTTAAACAGAATAACTGGCGCAAATTAGCAAATGATGCACTGAGGAATCATAGAACAAAAGACTTTATGAAGAACTAAGTTTCAGATTCAGGGTGACGCTAAGGAGCTAGTGTACCAGAGGATGGTATGCCTTCTGCAATCACAAAAGCAGCATTCAGTCTGATCTGGGCTCTAAGAAGTGCTCCTTGACCTTGAGACCTGACATTTTATCCTAACACTGCCACTAACAGGTTAAGTCAGAAAGAGTTCACTTCCCAGAGCTTTCGATTTCTGGTTTCCAAATCAGCACAATGAGAATTTTAAGGATAAACTACATTTAAGTAGCTTTGTCTGGATTATCAAAACCAGGTCCTGAAGAAGTGAGTTCCTATAGGGTAGGAACTTTGCTTATGTCTATATCTCAGTTGTGTTAAACAGAATAACTGGCGCAAATTAGCAAATGATGCACTGAGGAATCATAGAACAAAAGACTTTATGAAGAACTAAGTTTCAGATTCAGGGTGACGCTAAGGAGCTAGTGTACCAGAGGATGGTATGCCTTCTGCAATCACAAAAGCAGCATTCAGTCTGATCTGGGCTCTAAGAAGTGCTCCTTGAGACCTGACATTTTATCCTAACACTGCCACTAACAGGTTAAGTCAGAAAGAGTT